GCTTTTGTTTATTTCAAATTAGAAGTGTATAAAGAATGGTTTTCTGTATTTCTGTGTGCATATTTCCCAACACAGTATCTTATATGATAGAGTTTGTACAATTGGTTGTGAATGTTTTTAATTGTTGAAGTTCAGAGATATTAAAGCCTCCTGTTTACTGCTCCAACAAGTCTGTGAAGGAGGCTACAAAGATACTGTATCACATATCAGACTAAAGAGGAAGAGTGAAGTTTTTTTTTATGCTTAATAGGAAAGACAAAATAAATACAAGGACACTTTCAGCTAATTTTTATATTGCACAGTTGTGTTTACTTCTGCATCAAACAATCCATTCTATACCAGGCATGGACAACCAAAAGGGCAAATGCACCTCACATATTCAGCTCCTGTAAGTTTTTATCATTTCCCTTTAATGTAGTCTCAAAGCTTTCAGCTTATATATTCCCTTTTTTTAAAGAAAGGACATATAACATTTACTAGTATTTCATTGTGAACCCACACACATCACAATACTCAATGATCTCATATTTAATTTTAGACTTGAATTACGAAGGAGAGTAAGTCCAAACATTCCCAATTCACAAAATAACAATCTCTTCTAAAAATACTGTATACCCTTATATCAACAATAAACTGTTCTAGGAAAAAATATATTTCTTCATCAAGTAAACCAGATGAGCCTATCATCCCTGATGTTCCCCTTAGGAAGTGAGGAGTTGAATGGTTTTACTGTGGCGTTGAAGTTGTACAGTTTGATGACATTAACATGAGGAATGCTCGCACACTTTCCTTTCCTCACATAGTCTGGCAGCTCAAGCTGGGTCAGGTTGGCTGTGAAGTAGCCGTTGATCGCAAAGAATTTCTGTCAGGGAAGGAAAACAAGACAATTAGTAATGCATGATGTGTGAACTAACTAATAAACTGGTGGATGTACCAACTTCTAACTTAGGACCTTAATGTTACCAGCTCAGAAATCAATGCTGTATTGAACCAACCTTTTCAGCATTGTACAGCTCTACCAGGTTGGAGTAGACTGGCCAGTTTGGACTGGGCTTGAACTCTGTGGAGTCGACTGGGTCTGTGCTAAACTGTATAATACCCCATCTAACAGGACAACCAAACAACACATGATTAGTACATAACAAATTGCTACTACATGTAGATTAATCATGAAGAATTACGTAGTACTATGATAGGGAGAGGAATGGACTTTGCCTTCCAATACTGTACCTTACAGACATAGTGAATGAACAACCCACTGCCCCTATGGCTTCAAAGGACCTTTACCTTACATGTACATATGCATGTGCAATCAAAGGGTACTGATATCATTTAGCAGTACTCCTCACCTTTCAGGCAGGTGCATGTTAATGGAGTGCTGTGGAGACCACACCCAGTTGTCTTCAGGTAAACCAGGGACCTGCAAACATAGGTGCAATTGAAAAATAGAAGATACACTAAGTAAGAAACATGAAAACTGGAACAAAAAAGATGAATCAAAATAAAAGTCATGACAAGTATGTTACAGGCATTTAATTCCTACTTTTGAAGAAAAATAAAGGGAAACAATGGCAGAAAAACATACACAAAATTGGCTGCAAGTAAAAGGGTAGTACAATCATAATGGTACAAAATGTATAAAGGGTATAATATAAGATTTCATCCCTACCTTTTCGTAATGGCCGTTAACATTTTTTACATGCCACTCAACCCTGGGAAGAAGAAAAAGTCAAAACACTTTAGATGGCAATGACTTCAAAACTAAGTGTACGATCATAAACATATAACAATACTCATATTCTAGTTGGTCATAACTGGTACATTAATCATTTATCAATCAATCATTCATCACCTGCTGAAGTTGATCCTCCATTGGTCGCCATGTTTGGGCGGGGCTGTTGCCACGGTGCAGTCATGAACCATGTCCTTAAATGGAAGTGCCAACTCCACTGTCCAGTACTTATCTACAGGGACAAGCAAAAGAGACACAACCTAAGCCGTGTCTTACTGAGGGACAACTGCATGTGCAAGATATCGGTTAGCTAGAGGAATGAATCCCCTCTACTATATACTTAGCTTGGATTTGTGTGACCCTCGACTGACATTGTACATCATATTGAAATTCATAATTAGAATGTTATGCATGATGCAAAAGCTTAGTATGATTCAAATTGAAAGACAACATTTCATTATCTATGAGTTCTTCGAGTGATCTGTATTTAGTTGCTCAACAGTTTCAGCCTCTAATGGAAAGTGATTGCTGTTACTTTTTGTCCAAAGATTCTAGGAAGGTTGCCCTATTATACAGGCCCTCATGTGTACAGCCCGATCCTTGACCTGCAAAACCTATGGCACTATGGGCAGGTGGAACTCTGCCCTGATGTTGGCTGAGTACATACTAACACTGTATGTACATGTTAATTACCACATAAGTAGACCACTCTATATAACATACTTGGCACTAGTGGGTTGTTGACAGGTCCCTCTATGTATGTTGCTGACTTCATTGTTGGCATCTCCCAGCTACTGTTGGCATTCCCTCCATTCAGGTAGGGCTGTGTAGAGTGAATCAAACGGAAAAGCAGGTAAAAGTTAGCATTTTTAATTTCATACCACTTCCTACATGTACATGTAGGTAGATTTAGGGTACGGTATCAAAAGGTATTGGAGATAATTACACAGTACACCACTCTGTTTGGGGAGGTTAAAGCCATTCAACAGGACTTGAACTATGTTTGTGATACTGTATACTACAGTACCTAATCTGGAACTCAAAATTCTAAAACATACTCCTTTTTTATCCCAATGGGAGAATCATGACAAAACGAGTGGCAAACATGATTTTCATTTCTAAACGATATCACTACTAGAGCCTACCTTACTTAGCTCCAGGTCCCATGTGGTGTTGATTGCATTGATTTCAAACTCTTTGTAACTGAAAATCAGATATGAATTATTTGGTTTGATTAGAATTATGTTCAATCTTGTCTTCATTGTCTTTCAACAATTGGGAACACCAGGTGATATTTTTATAGTTAAAAGATTTTTACAGTACTTACTGGTGAGTATTCCCATCAGGATCTGTGAACACCTTTAAAGTAAAAGAAGAAGATTTATATATATCTTGCTGCATTCCTAGATACTGTTAAATAGAAATGTACTTAATCTCTAGTGCCACATCTAGTATGCTTCAATGCCTGGTAAACTGCATCATATATGTTGGCATTTGTGTATGTACATGTAACATCAACATTGTCACTTTAGTTTGTTTTTGCTTTTAATTACTAATGCAACCCTTCAAATCCTATTACCACAATAGAACTATATGTACGTATGTACTAGGACATGCATGATCTAATCTAAATAACTTATCTAATGTCAACAACAAGTAATGGCATTTCTGACTTGTAGACAGGTAGAATGTCTTCTGCACAAGAAGTTAGTAGTGTATCTGTAGTGTAATAGCCACTGTAACCTGGATTCAATGTATATATACAAAATGCTTGCCTCAAAGTCATTGTCCTCGAATACTGCAAAAATAAAGAAAAATAAATGATCAACAATAAATTACAGCTGATGCACACAACTTACAGAACACAGAATTGCAATAATATACGTACATAAGTATACGAATATAAGTACATAAGAAGATATGAGTACAAATAAAATGGAATTGAATGTTGGAGTATGCGATATTAGGTTTCACTGACAGAAATACACCTTACAATACCCACCTACTGAGTCGTGCTTGGTCTGGTTGGCGAATACGTCTGACTCCTGCAGATATCCCGCCACGTACAGATACGTGTCGTCCCATCTCAGCTTGGCGTATGTTTCATAGCGCGGTCTGGGATAATCCTCTCCTTGAATGTCTTCAAATTTTTTTTTCAAAATCAAAGATCATTTCAACACAAAAAATTGCCTTAGAGTTACACTGAAATAACCAAAGTTAATGTTACTAAAAGCTTTCCATACTCGACAAAAGTGTCGTACAACTTTAAAACTTAATAATGAACATGGCTTATTAATCACAAGTATGATACATGTACTAGGCAAGAGTATTATATTACTAGTACTATATGATTAAAGTAAGCGTGCAGTTGGACCAGTATAAAAGGCTAAGATCACTACAACTTTACATTTTGCATTGATGTAACATTGAGTGTCTAATCTGCAACATTATGTAAGTACAAAACGTCTACTTATAATTAATCATAAGTTTATGTTAACGTTGACGTACAACTTTCGTATTTAAGTTGTAACGTTACATAATTTGGAGGACTATGAAGTGATTATGGGTGTCTTGTCATGCCTACAAAATTATACAACATCAACAGTAATTTAATGACACTCTAAAAGCAATGTTCAGAAGGAACATGAGTGAGAACACGACCGTACGTACCTACAAACCTGTCTGTCCTGGGCACGTCTAACCACGCCTGTTCGTCTATCCTACCGTCCACACTGACGCCCCCCTCCCACTCACGCAGTTTGTACACCACGTACGTTTTGGGCAAGGGCAGACCGCAAAAAGGGTCATCTGAAACGCTAGGCTGGATTACTGATAAGATGAACAACACAGAAGCTGTGTACAGCAACGAATTATGCATTTTAACTGCCCATCTAATACACAACGTCGGACCAAAACATGCGAGGTGTAGTAGCGGACCAAAACATCAATGATATGACCCCGTGACCCGGAAGTGATTATCATGAACATGGGATACTACTACTACTAGTAAGGCCATGTTGATTTCATTATATGGATGACATCCACTGAGAATCCCAAAACTGATGTGAGCGTGCGAATAAAAAAAGTTTGGCAAAAAAAAGTTGCCTTCATTATATGAAATCTAGGTGAAGGTTTGACAAATGACTAAACACACAGTAATATTTTATTGGCATGGTGAATAATAAACTCTTCATTTTTATCACTTCACATTTTCTTCTTGTCATTTCGAATGGATTTTGGCATTCTGTGACATAAGAATCGTTTTCCTTTTTTTTCAATTTACGGCATATATTTTCTTATTTTGCAGCTACTTTGTACGATTGGAAACGGACCAAAATTTATGCGCGCGCGGATGTCATCCATGTAATCAAATCAACATGGCCTAATCGAAGGAGGTAATACATGTATAATGCAGTATAATGCCAACTGGGAAGAGAGAATAAAATATCTTTTCAGCCGACAGTGAGAAGCCGCGAATACTGGTGATTATATTTTTTGTGTGAGGTGCGGTGCTGGTGAGTTTACAAGTTCAGAAAAGTTGCGCATTACTTGTGACTGCTGCCAAAGTTACGCTTTAAGTTTATATAACTTGTAACAAGCGCTGAGCTTTACACACCTATAACATGCATGAATTGAATTCCGTCATGAATCGGGTTCAAGCTAGTAACATTGAAACATTATGCATGTATTAAATAAAGAGTAAGTTCCCGATTCATTAACCATCAATAGTAAATAGTAAGTAGACCCTTTTGTGACGTTCAACTTTTCCCTACTTAAGTTACATCTGAAGTCACTGTAACATCGTTATATCAATATACAACGCAATACTCGATTGCCATTTTTCACTGGTTTATCGACCTCTTCCTTTTTCCAAACATGCAGTGCAAAACAAGCTAACATCTGCCCACATACATTAGCCAATACTATAGGTTACACACAGTCACATGATGGTACTATTCATCATTATCACGAGACAGCCCAGTGTTGTTGCATCAAACTATCGCAACGCCTGACATTTACTGGTCATCAGACCGGTTTGGCGACTTCTGCTGACTCAGATGTCAAAGGGCGTCCACAAAACCGCGAACATATTTTAATACTAACCATCACAAATATTTCTGGAGTTACGGTAGTTTGCTGGGATTTATCGATCTATGCTCGGTGAAACGGACGAAACCAAGGAGAGATAGGTACGTGTAGTTGTTCCGCCATATGTTGGTCTGTTGCGTGACAAACCGGGTCGTCTTTTGTCATCTTCCCCACTTCGCTGTTACATACTCGTATAATAAGGATCCGGCTCATTATCAGCGTTGTATGCCTGTTTTTGCAACGTTCAGTACTCTTTGAACTAGCATTGCACTGCCGTAGGTTCACCTCTCCCTGCATGTAGACACAAGAAAACGTCCCATATTAGAAACAATACGCAGAAATAGACGCAAAACCTCTGTGACCCTCTATGTGTGGGAGTGGGTCAATAAAATAACATAGAAGCTCGCCAAATACAGCTCCAATCCTGCTTATTCTGAGACGCTGGTGTATGTAGCTATTCTTATAAGAGAGCTCGAGGTTCATTTTACTATTGACTCAATACGCACGTTCAAGTCTGATTTTAAGCCCCTTGTTCTACAAATCGATCTCGTACGAGGTCAACACCTTACGATTTCACCTGAAGCATTTCATACATGGGGAATTTTACTACTGGTGACGTAGTGAAATTATTTACGGATACTGGTGACGTGTTCACTATAGTTGCATGACATCATTTGCACGGTGAAATCACGTGCATGACATTACACGGTTATTGATTTAAATCTGTGCAGTGACCTTTATCGGTCTTACTTGAAAATAAACTGTATTTATTCCACGAAATCCGGTATAAATGAACAAACCTACTCCCCAACTGTGTTACTATAAAGACCCGGGGCTTTAACAAGGATTTTTCTAGACCTGTACAAGTCTTAAGTGTGAACTACCTGTAAGATTTGCAATCTTGCATCATTGGTCAAGATGATATCATCAACCTATTAACCTGGTTAATGACCGTTAACCGACCACACCCAGTCCTTGTTTATTTAGCCTTTGCACTTGCGGCTACGTGTATTTCAGAAGAAGACTCAGTGCATACACGTTACAACTCGTCACTACAACCAGAGCTAACAACGTGTCCTGTGGGAAACATTTCTGAGTTACATCGTGAAGATTTCTACAAATCGTCTTCCAACATGGCAGCGGCAACGTCTCCAAGTGTCAGTCGGAAGGACGAGCTTCTTAAAGACCTGAAGACGGTCCCGAAGGCTGGTGAACCAGGAATCATCGAGGTGTCCGGGGACCAGGCGGAAGGCATCCTGTTAGACGACCGGGGGAGGGCCGTCATGGCTGCGGCTACGTACGGCTCAGGTAGGATTGTGGCCTTCGGTCATAACGGCTACATCAAGCAGTTCCGGGAGGGCAAAAACAAGAATTTCTTCAACCTGAATCACAACATTCGCACCTGGCTGGGAATCGGTGGGGAGGGGGGCGAAATCACGTTTGGCGACACTCTCAAAACTGTTGAAGACATCCCCAAATCAGGCGTTCTGGTCGTCGCCGGCGGCGGAGACAAGCTCAAGAAATTCGTCCCGGGTATTTTGAAGTTCATCCAAGAAGGAGGGGGATTCCTGTGTGGGGTATGCCCGTGGGGGTGGTTGCAAAAGCGCCCCCAGGAGACCATCGAAGGCATGGCACTTCAGCAGATTGTGAAAGAGGCCGGTATGTCCTTTACGGGAGAAAAATGCGAGGTAGAGAAGAAGAAGTTCAGCGTCGTTCAGGGCAAGGAGAAAGAGGAGAATGGAGCTGACATGAAGAAAGGTTCTGTCAACACTCCGGGCAAGTGCGTCGAAAAACGTGTCGAGATGCCGGAGGAAATGTGTGCGTCTCCTACCGTGCCCATGGCAGCAGCAGCGGCGACGTCTCCGAGCGGCAGTTGGAAGGACGAGCTCCTTAAAGACGTGACGACGGTCCCGAAGGTCGGCGTGCCGGGAAACATCGTGGTGTTCGGAGACCAGGCGGAACCCATCCTGCTAGACGACCGGGGAAGGGCCATCATGGCGGCGGCCACGCACGGAGCGGGAAGAGTCGTTGCCTTCAGCCACAACGGTTACATCAAACAGTTCAGCGAGGGAAAGAACCAAAAGTTCGAGACCCTGAACCGCAACATTCGCACCTGGCTGGGAATGAAGGAGGGGGATGTCGTGACGGACGCCGGAAAGATCAAAGAAGCCGCAGACATCCCGACATCAGGTGTTCTGTTGGTCGCCGGCGGAGGCGATAAGGGGAAGAAGCTTGTTCCTGACGTGCTGAAGTTCATCAGAGAAGGAGGCGGGTTGCTGTGTGGAGTGTGCCCGTGGGGATGGTTGCAGAAGCGCCCCCGCAAGACCATCGACGACATGGTACTGCAGGCAATCGTGAACGAGGTCGGCCTGTCCTTCACAGCCGAAACCTGCGCAGCGAAGAAAGAAATCAGTGCGGCGGAGAGCAAGGAGAGGGCCGAGGTGTCTCATCTAGGCCGCGCCCTGAAGGCCATCGACTTGGACCCGGACTCCGTGGAGAAGTACGCCGAGACCGTCGCCGAGAACGCGCACTCCATCCCGGACAAGTGCTTCGAGAAGCGTCTGAACACGCCCATGGAGAAGTGCTACGAGAAATGCATCAAGAAACACAAGGACTGCATCCCCAAGGGTGGCAAGAAGAAAGTGAAGGACAGTAGAGGAAGAGCAGTCGTCTCTCTGACCACCGGTTTCTTGGAGAAACAAGCCAAGATGGGAAAAGAAGTCAAAGCGCCTGGCATCAACGACTTCCCGGGAGATTTTGAAGACGAGCCGCAACTGCAGTGCGCGTCTGTGATCATCAAATCCGCAAGGAAAGAGCGCCACTCGACGGGATACTACCTCCCTGCAGGCAAAGTCCTGACCATCAAGGCGACCACGACCGGAGAACATTTGGAGGACTGGCGGGTGAGGGTTGGAGCACACTCGGACAACTTGAGCGGGAAGAAGGAGTTCAAGCGATGGCCGAAGCTGAGCGTGGTGAAACGTCTGGAAGCAGAGACGAAGATAAGCTCGCCTTACGGTGGTCTGATCTACTTCGAGAGTCCCAAAGAGGCGGGGGACCTCACGGCGTCAATGGAGAACGTGGTGGAGGCTCCGTACTATGACTTGGAGGATCCCAGGAGCGTCCAGAACTGGTCTGAGCGCAGGAAGGCCCCGGGACTTTGGGCAGACCTGGCCGGAGAACACATCATCTTCACCTTCCCGTCTGCATCCGTGCGGGACCTGGAAGACCCCAGTGAGGGCCTGCGGGCTTGGGACGACGTAGTTAAGGTGGGTAAAGTAATAAACTCCGGGTACGCAAGTAATGTCTTGTGTCTAATGGGTTTGTGTGTTGGTTTTTCTCACCGTATGCTTGTTCAACCTTAACAGCAGAGACATTATCCTGATAAGATTCAGTTTTAACATCTGCTAGTAAACGTTTGTTTTATTCCATACCTTTTCTTTTACGGAGTTCAATTATAGCTGTTTCCGTGCTTTGTACCACGTACAATTGTCGTGCAGTGAAGTTCTTTTATGCACTCCTCCAGGCACACCACGAGCTGCGCGGCACGACCCCTAGCGGCGACCACCGGCAGCGCATCGTGCCAGACCGCCAGCCCAAGGCCGGGTGGATGCACGCCGGCTACCCCATCGTGACGAACATGGACATCGCGCAGAAGGACAAGTTTATCCTGGACGGGAAGAAGCTGAGGAAGGCCGGCAACTGGGGACTGTTCCACGAGCTGGGACACAACATGCAGAGGAAGGCGTGGACGTTTGAAGGAACCGGAGAGGTGGGGGATACGGGGTTTTATATATTACAGAGATACTAGAATGTGAATATCAGAAAAAGAGACAAAGTTCGCAAAAATGGGAAATTTGACAATTTTGAAACGTAAAGGAGCCATGTCGTGTTGGATGCCTAACAAAGGTCAAGGCCGTTGTGTTCATTTTGCATACCTGGTCATAATCTTTGGCTTGCCTTTGTTGCTACCACTACCAGACCAACTACGATAGCTATAGGGAGAATATTTTGCAAGGTGACTGTAACAACAGTCGCGGCATCTCTTTGTTGTCATGTGCAGGTAAAGTGCTGACAAGGATCTTGCTGATGAGGCTGATCAAGTCCGTGTCAGAGGACGTCCTTCCAGAAAGTCAGTGTGGCTTCAGAAAAGACCGAAGCACAATTGACATGGTTTTCGTGGCAAGGCAGCTACAAGAAAAGTGCAGAGAGCAGCACCAGGAGCTTTACTTGGTGTTCATCGACCTCACCAAGGCGTTTGACTCGGTGAACAGACCACTTCTCTGGGAAGTCCTTAAGAGATTTGGCTGTCCCGGTAAGTTCATAGCCATACTGAGGTCATTACACGACGGGGCAATGGTAAGAGTTCTAGGTGGCGGTGATAAGTCTGACCCTTTCCCTGTCTGCACTGGTGTTAGACAGGGGTGTGTCATTGCGCCCGTCATCTTTAACCTGTTCCTCGCTGCTGTAATGCTTGCTGCCAAAAAGAACATTTACCCTGAGGACTGCATCGACTTGACATACCGACTTGACGGGAGCTTGTTCAACCTTCGTAGACTGAAAGCTCCAACCAGAGTCAAGCACGAGACCATCCTCGAGCTGCAGTATGCTGACGACGCTGCCATCGTTGGCCGTTCAGCTGCTGGCCTGCAGAGGAACCTCGACACCCTCGACACTGCATATACCCGTGCCGGTCTGGGTATCAACACCGGAAAGACAGAAGTGATGTTCCAGGGTCAAGGTTCTAGCTCCCCCTGTATACAGATCAAGGGCACACAGCTGAAGAACGTCCGATCATTCACATACCTGGGATCGGTCCTGACCTCACCTTCTGACGCCACTGACGACGTCCAAAGGCGAATCGGACTCGCATCTGCTTCTTTCGGACGCCTTTCAAGCAGAGTTTTCCTGAATAAGGACTTAGCTACCCAGACAAAGGTCGCGGTCTATAAGGCAGTATGCTTGTCCATCCTGCTTTACGCCAGCGAGACCTGGACTCTCTACAGACGACACATACGGTCTCTTGAGCGTTTTCACATCCGATGCCTACAAAGAATCCTCGGACTCAAATGGTGGCACAAGGTCCCCCACGTCGAAATACGTCGGAGGGCCAACGTCGACCCCATGGAGACCATCTTACTACAGAGACAACTGAGATGGACTGGTCACCTAATCCGCCTACCCCCTAACCGTCTGCCAAGACAAGTCCTCTACGGTGAGCTAACACATGGCAGGAGGGCGGTCGGAGGACAGTATAAGCGTTTCAAGGACTGCTTAAAACATAACTTGAAAAAATGCGACATTCCCACCCAAGAGTTGGAACACTGCGCAGCAGACAGGAGTGGGTGGAGGAGCGCCTGTACGGCCGGCTCACAGCTCTATACGAGGAGACTCAATGAGCTGTCGGAGGCCAGGAGGGCAAAACGCCACCTCAGAAGGGAAAGAGGAGGGAGGACATCGTCGGCACCCGACGGTCTGCCATAAGCAAGTAAGCAAGCATTTTGCAAGGGAAGTTTGGCTACAAGTCCTACCCCCTGGCCAATGATTGACCCTGTTTTTACCGAATTTTACTATCCATAACTTGGGCAGGCCTGGTGAAGGCCAATTTTTTCCATCACTCTAAAGCTTGTATCAAGCAATACCAGTTGCAAAGACATTTCCATCGCCTAATCTGTACTGTGCTGATTTGTAGATGAAAAATTGGATCCAATTAAACTATGTACAAGTACCAGAAAACAAAACACCGATAATATGTTGTTTTGAACACGCAGGTGACGTGCAATGTCTTCACTCTTCACGCCATGGACGTGGTGGCAAAGAGAGACCCCTGGCAACATCCGTGGGTACGGAACAAGTGGCCTTCCATTGAGCAGTTCTTCAAGGTGGGTGTAACATCGGATGCAAAACTGAATTTTCAAGTCAATTTTCTGGTCATTCTTTTTATTTAGTAAGTTGAATCAATCCTATCCGATAACATACTGATATCTATGAGGTAAATATGCAAAGTCGCTGATGGAAAACGGTTGCTTGTTTCATATCGTAGAATGGTTCTAGCTATTTATGGGCGGTACCCCAAAAATCAGACACCTCAAGTAGCTTGATTTTAGGCTATTTCAACCGCTTCAAGTATAAATGATGACGAAAATCTGCTGACAAATGCCAGTCAAAGTCAATATGAGGCAGATGCCCTTATATTATTTCTATTTGTTTGTTTGTTTGTTTGTTTGTTTGTTTGTTTATAAGTGTTGTCTTCCCTCAGGACGGCGCTCCACATGACGTGTGGAAGAAGAAAGCAGGCGTGGCCCTGGCTGTGTACGCTCAACTAGCGCATCACTTCGGCTGGGAACCTTACAAAAAGGTCGGCAAAAAGCTGCCTGATTACTTCAAAAGAAATGCGGGAACTAGTCGCATCTGACGACAGAGGGATAGTGTGAAACGGATATACACTTGTATAAGTTCAATTCTGATTTAAAACATATCAGCTGGTGTGCTTTCTTTACTAATTTCCTTTCAATTACACACTTAACATGTGTCTGAAACTTGAAACTTCTTGTGCGTCATTTCTTGATTTGTTATAGAGCCAAAAACACCTCATGAAAAGTAGCTTGTTTTTGCTATTCACAAGAATCAGTCTCGTATTTTCATAGGCGTGTACTGCATGCTATATTTGAATGCTACTGCATGCTATTTTATTTGCGAATTTCCTAACAGTGGTTTCTGCCCAATGGCACACTCAGGTATTCCGTCAGTACGAAAAGGACCCCAAGAAGAAAGAACCGCAGAACAACAAGGAGAGGATCGTCTTGTGGATCGTGCGTTTCTCCAAGGAGGCCGACCGCAACTTGGTGCCGCTCTTCGACTTCTGGGGCTTCCCGCACACCGAGGAGGCGCAGGCCCAGCTCTCGGGGCTGGAGGCCTTCCTGCCCGACGACGACCTGACTGCGCTGGCGCCGGAACGGCTCGCGGAGATCAGGGGGAAATACAACATGCAGAAATGAGGAGGACTGAACTAGCTGTCTATCATAGGGAAATGTCACTGAAGCATATTTAGTTTTAAACGCTATGTGTTATTTCAAAATATCACAGGAAACTAGAGTGCAATTATCATAGTGTGGTATTACATGTATGACTGTATATGTTTAAAAAAGTATTTCTTGCGGTTTATAGTACTTGATGATTTGGGAGTATTGACCTGTCTATCATATAGATAGACAGATGTCATTGAAGGACACTTAGTATCAAAATATTATAATAATATAAAAATTTAGAGTATATTAAGTATATTGTTCTACTTGATTACATGTATGACTGTATATGTGATTTGTGTTATCTGATGTCCCCCTTCAGGGTTCAAGGTCTTTCAAGATATGTTTCAAAATGGCTAGGAAGAAATTCAAAGGTCTGAAAGGTGAAACAACATGTCAGCACAGTATAGTCTTCCATCATATTTAAATGTAAACGTATTTATTTGACACATAGCCAAATGTAAGCCATTTCAGATGTCATCAAGTCGTTCAAGTTATTGTTAATAGATCAGGCCACAGTCGGGATTCTGGTGTAATACTTGAAAAGTTTTTCCTGTCGTTGGTGAAATAAAGGGTATAGTTTTAAACAAATAAAGATTGTTTAACGAATTCTTCATGTATTTGGGCAAATCCAATACACCCTAGTCTGTGCCAGCAAACCAGGCTTATCACATACAGTGCTAGGTGTCTTTTAGAAAACTCTTTCGCTTTCTTAAAAGCAATTTCGAATGCAGAGTAGTTGTCTATGTACTCACAATTGACGTCTGTCAATCTTACAGCTGTAGTAAATGCTGATGGAAATGGAGAAAGAAGCAAGTTTGAGTTAAAGTTTATTCAGATGGTAACAACGCAATACATGTGGTACATGTAGCGAATTTCCGGTCTCAAGCACTACACATCTCTAAAAAGTCTACTAAAGATATAGTTATGTCCATGATTATATCATACGAAGCAGTTTGTACAATCTTAAGAGCAATACAATTCTGATAAGTTATTGAAATCTCTTTTGTTTGTGAAAGGCAACATAATATGCCGTGTAAGTTCCCAGTTAGATATCAAAGTGCTTTAAAATTCCACGGTCAAACATCACATAGTATAACGTTCATTTGCCATACTATCAGACTAGATTGTAGTTACACAAAATATTGGTGACAGCCATTGCAGGCTCAACTAGAACGTCCATGCAGAGGCGAAGACTGAGCACAGTTCAGACGAACACTGGCATATTTTATTACTCGTCCATTTAACGGTTCCAAAAAACATTTTGCATGCAGTATACTGAAGATAATAATGTTGAGCGACGTTTATGAAAAGATTTGAATTAATAAATAAATGCCGATTCGGGCTGGCTGATCGCACAATTATACATGTATTGACAAAGAATGAATGATATTCTTTGGTAAATTTCTAGCCATAACAACTACAACATCAGAAGAATGATATTTGGACATAAATACAATACACACAAGTCAATTGAGAAAGAATCCGTATGCTCTGGCAGGCATACACAACACATGTTTTATGATATTTAATATTTCTGCATACTAGTAATTAGTGCCCTTTGTAATAATGCACGATTGTAATAGTGGGAGGTATGTACCTTAGTGAATTGAAGCGAAGAAAGAAAGAGACTGCATGCGATATTTTCTAACTATATCTTTATTACTGAGTAAATATGAGCTATATGCTGTAACGTATAATGTGCCTTTTGAATGCCAGGGCACGCCATCGCTGAGATGTCCTTGTGTCTACTGGTCGCTACACATTCGCTTTGAACAGTTCGTTTCGCTACATGGTACAAGCCGTTTTGCTACATTATCATAGTAGAAGTCCATCCGTAGGTCATGTTCACAATCATTCTTACTGTTCTTCCTATATAAGCTCGTGTCTAAAACTATAGCATGATACTCATAATCAATACATGAAGTATCTCGTTATGAATTCTAAATCTCGTGTCGTTGCGGATAGCCAATGTCAGATTCAAGCGGTCGGTTACATGCGGTATTTTGAATTCATTGCATTTGCAACATATTTCTCGTCAACAGTAAATCTTCACTAATATGTGCTGTCACAGTAGATATCATAGGGGAATTGTTTTGCTGTTAGAATAACGTGTCAAGTTTTGAAATGATTTAATATGATATGTCAACAACTTTGCCAAACTCATCAATAAATGGAAAATACAGCTTTTTAAGAAATAGACATTTGTATGTTACGTATCTGGGCTATTGAGGTAGGTACTCGTATGAATGCAGAATGGTACAATCGAAGTGTGATCATAAACTTGTCAAGGCAATATGAAATGTGTTTGTTTTCTTCTAGATCGTACGAAAGTCGCTGTATTTTCTTGTGTCAATTTCTTCAGTTCTAATGTTTGAATTGATATTTCGGTATTTAGATAAGATATATAGATTTAACAGATTTTCCTAGGGACTGGGTATATAGAAAATATTATTTCCATACATTTCTGGGCTTTTACGAAATGTTGACAAGAAAGATGAAGAAAATGAAATAAAAGTTAAAATCCGGATGTTCAGGTGTGATGTTCAGTGAGCGGCGGCGATGACGCCCACGTCCTGGCAGCGGCCAACCAGCGTCTGGGTCAAGAGGAAAGGTTTAGTACACAATTGTAACAGGTGCAATCTAAGCTTACGTTGTATAAAACTACTGGCTTACTACATTCATCAAGTACAATCTACACGTATATTCTAAGGTAAAGGTAAAGCGTTGGGTAATTTCACAAATCTAGTATGACCTACACATAGATTCTAAGCTCATTTATAATATACAAAGCAGTACTGGTAGAAGACAATACGTACAAATGTAAGGCAAACGTTGTACAGGACATACTAGCTAATACCATTACTCAAGTACAATCTACGTGTAGATTTTAAACTGTATAACATTATTAAAAGACACAATGAGGAGTTGTAGCTGTACTTTAATCTCCAAGCAGATTCTGTAGGGCAAGGGGAGTCTATATTGGCCGCCTGTATCTATTGGCCTCCCCACGTGGATACACGCGGCCAATATAGGCTCCCATTGCCCCACAGCATCTGCTTGGAGATTAGTTGTACCTGTCCCCGGACGCGGCGGCACGTCAGGCCCTGGTGGCACGGGCAGAAGGACGTCTGCCGCTCGCCGCCGATCGAGGGGGAAGGGCGGCGCGTTCACCGGGCAGACGTCGCCGACCTCCCGCAGCGGCTTGCAGACCCGCACGGGCATCCCCAGGTTCCACTGGGCGCAGCACGACACGTCCTCTCCCTCCGCGCTGATGCAGTCAGCGTCAGACGAACAGAACTAAACAGACATATGTGCAGATCGTTTTGTACTTTAGCTTTTCAGCTAGATAAGTGTACATGTATAGAACGCGCCACAAATCACTGATGTTATCAGCGTCAGACGAACATAACTAAACAGACATATGTGTAGATCGTTTTGTACTTCAGCTTTTCAGCTTGATTAGTGTATAGAAATGGCCACAAATCACTGATCTAGTCAGCGTCCGACGAACAGAACTAAACATCTACAGAACTTTTTGTTAATCTCCAAGAAGATCTTTCGGTGGCTGCAAAGACAGTATCAAATTGGCCAGGCAGTATCCTTTTTCGAAGATGTTACAATTTGCCTGGGCGGCTGAGGACTCTCTCTAGATGACCAGTTCTGTTATAACCGTAACGCTTTTAACGCCAGACATCTGCTTGGAGGTTAGAACTCCTTGCCACCAAGAGCAGTGAAAACGCCCTCACTAAGCGCCTAGAGTTAGATCATGTGTACAGGGGGGTAGTTGTGTCAGGTTGTTCGACTGTCCATCGAATAGAGCCGGTTTGAAGCCACATATAGTAGATTTGTACAAGAAAAGAAGCCAAACATGATGATGTTTTTGCCCGTTAAGTGTTCCGAATGTACAACTTTAATGTTCAGATTAAACCAAGCGCCCAATCCTGATCATATACGTGTATGGGAACCGCCACATATACCAGAATGAGCGCACAGCACTTAAAACAGGCACAGACAAAAGAAGCAACCTTTGCTATCATATGCTTTCTAAAAATTTCTTCATTGAGAATACTTGATAAATCTAAATACGCATATCTATATGCACAATTATATGCAATGACACCCAATGTTGCTAGGTTGCCTTTGATCATTCTTAAATGAGGATGATATATATATAGCAGCTGTTTACTAGACTAGATCAACCCATAAGATTAAGAAGAATGGAATTTTCTAAAAAAAAATCAATATCAACCAGAAGCAGATGTACTTGTACGGATAGCTTTGTTTCTTTTCCTGACGTATGAAAAAATACAAAGGTGAACAAGTCCAAGTTATGACAACTTTTCGAGACAGATATAGCTACCGCCTACGCCATTGTCCATAACGCCACTGTCTGAACATCTAGTAAACTTGAGTAAAACCACCTACCCCAGTGATGGGCATGTAGGCCTGTGCAGCCGGCATGACAGAGATGGCAAATGCCATCATCAGAACTCCCAGCACAGTCGCCATGTTTTCTTCGGGATACTTGGATGTCTCTCTCTCTAAAGTGCGGTACTTTGTGGATTGAACTGGGGCCTTATATTCTTAAACTAGTCGGTTTCTTTTTACTCGGTTTACGCAATGCTCGTCTCTTTTTTTGAAGACAATACGGTCTGTGCGCAAAACACGTGTACAGGCACCATTGTCACGTTGCACTTCACTCATATTAATCACCACTTCAAGTAGTGACTTAACTCCAACTCTTATAACCGAAGCAGCTGCTACCAATCGAATGACTTTCACGTATCAAAAGTATTGCAATAGTTTCTTATGTCTATGCCTTAACAGAAATATGTAATACAAGCGATTGATAATGGACGACTGCATCAAGTACTTTTACAGGTTTCCACGTACGACCCTCAATAATAGGAAACTAATTCCAGTAACTTGGACAAAGGGCTAACTTTTTTCAATTGGTAGACTGCAAGGAAAGAGACAATTTAGCGGCCCAAAGATGTAGACATATCAACCGTCATGTACGTAAAAGGACGCTTCAACAAAGACTTGTTGACGAAGATGAAGTGTTT